TGATCAACAGAATGACGGCCCAAAGATGCCCAGGTCCTAGTCCCCAGAACCTGTGAATGTGTCGTCACCTTACATGGCAAAAGGATTTTGCAGGTGTGATTAAGTTAAGGATCTTGAGATGGGCAGATCACCCTGGATTTTCTCTGTGGGGCCCATGGAATCACCAGGGCCCTTTTAAGCAAAGAGAGGGAGGCAGGAGGCTCAGAGAAGCAGATACGAAGACGAGCAGAGTCAGAGATGTGCAGTTGCTTCGCTGAAGATGGAGGAAGGGCTAGGAGCCAAGGAATGCAGGCGCCTGCGGAAGCTGGAAAAGGCAGAAAAGGGACTGGCCCCCAGAGCCTCCAGAAGGAACCAGCCTGCCGGCACCTTGACTTTAACACCATGAGGCCCAGTTTAGGTTTCCGACCTCCAGAACTATAAAATAATAAATGTACGTTGTTTTAAGCCACTAAGTTTGTAGTGATCTATTACAGCAGCAAGAGGTACTAACACCCTAGGGCTCACACTTGGGGACAACGATGACACTTTATTGAGCACTTTCTCTGAGTCAGGCAGTGCTCAGATGCGTCTCTCTATCCGCTGTCTGCTTTTCCTCCTGACGACGTATAGGGAGGCACCCTTGTTCTTTCCACTTCACAGAGGAGCAACACAGGCTTAGAGAGGCTGAGGAACTGGCCCAAAGTCACAAAGGCTAGAGCCCAGGTCATCTGAGCACACGTCAACCATGCCAGATGCTACAAAACAAGCACCACGGGTGCCAAACAAAATGGAGCAGAAGCGACGGTATATTTACTTCCAGAGTCGAGGTTTACCCCTGGGATCGGAACAGATAAAGGGAAGACCAATTTCCAGGCCATAAAAACACTGGCCCTGGGCTTGTGTAGAAACAGTTCATTGCATGTGGGGTCTGTTAGCTTTTACTGAGCACTACAGGGTCTGGAATGTGTGGGAGAAACAAGAAAACCCAACAACGTTGGGTTGTTAAAAAACAAAACCCAAAACTCCTTCCCAGTATGGATGTAAGGGTGATGGTATACTTTTCAAAATGTAACAAGTTAGTTTTTCTTTTCTCCCTTTTTCTCCTACCTGTTTCACTGACTCTGTCTTCTTGAGGCTACACGCATACCTCCTTAATCTGGTTGATCAGCAAAATGTTGACTTGAAAGAAACTGAAGTCAGTCCTCAGCCATCTGGACCCTGGCGACCAGACTGCAATTCTGGACTGCAATTTTCTGTCAGATGGCATGAGTCACCCCTCCAACTGGGTCCGAGCTAGCCATCTCAGAACAAATCGGCCCCCAGCAGATGTTCAACTGATATCAGCACCGAGGAGTCGCATGACTAACTCCCCCTTTCCTCTGTTCTGCTTCTTGGGTACCGATAAAACCTCCTGACCTGTCTAGGGATGGGGAAGGTGGCCTTTGAAACAGGAGTCCGCCATCTTCCCAGAATGCTGGCATTTTGAATAAACCTACTTTTCTTTCCACCAATCTTGTCTTTCGATCATTGGCTTAGCAGTGGCAAGCAGCTGAACCTGAGTTTGGCAACATGGAGAGTGCCTTTTTTAATGAAAGATTTCTTTAGTGACAGGCCTCAGAGCTCTTCTCGGCACGTAGCATCTGGGTCAGCTCTAGTTAATGGGCTTTGCAGAAGCCCAGAAGNCCTGCCATCTTTGCATTCCCCCCGAGGGATGAGCGTTCCTGTGGCTCCTCATCCTCACCAGCGATTGGTGGTGTCAGTTCTTCGGGATTCTAGGCATTCTAATAGGTGTGTCATGGCATCTCGGTGCTTTAATTTGCAATTCTCTGATGACACGTGCTGTTGACCGTTATTTCATGCACTTGTTTCCCATCTGTGCTATCTTTGAGGTGTCTGTTCAGATCTTCTGCCCAGTTTTAAATTGTTTTTCTAGCCATCTTATTGTTCAGTTTTAAGCATTCTTGTATATTTTGACTGAGGTCGTGTTGGTCACTCATCACATGTGTTTTACAGACATTTTCTCCAGTCTGGCGTCTTTTCATTCTCTTACATGTGTCTTTCACAGGGGAAGAGTTTTTAATCTTCAAATCCAACATATCAGGTTTCTGTTTTGGGGTGGTGTTTGGTTTTTGTCTTGTTCCTTTTTTTTTCACAGATTGTACTTTTATTTGAATGAAATTACTTATTTGCAGAAGTCGAAGCATCTTAATTTGGGCTGTTTTTTATTGAATCGGCAGATGATGGGCCTGTTGAATGGCGGCTACTTCAATGTGTTCCGTTTCTTGGTGGAGATCTCTGGGTACTCTGTACACTAATTTGTTTCTTTTTAGCATTGAGGTAGTTTTACTTCTACCATCTGAAACCACAGCGCTTTTGGTGAATGACCCTGTGGTCTTGTTTCTGCAATGAGGACATACTGTTTT